ATAACGCGAGTTCTATCGCCATGAGCGTAAATCCCGTATTTAATGCTTCGATCAAAACACATAGAGCTTGACCTGCATTTTGTTCAAGAAAAGGACATTAATGGCATTGTTCAAGTGAATTATGTACTAGCAGAATATCAAGTTGCTGACTAAACCTTTGTAGATGATGTCACACGAATTGTTTCGGAAGAAGTTGCTAATACTGGAGAGAGATGATCAAAGAGGAGCAGAGAGAATGTTGAAGTGTAAATAGCATAAGCAATTGAGGTCATGAATAGTGTGTGATGTGATGAGTTGTGCATGGGTTAACCAACTTTGTTAGAGCTGTTATGCTGACGTGTATACAATTTCAAGTTTGTTACAATAGCTATGTGTGCTATAAATAACAGTATTTATTCTACTCATTATGTAGTTTTTCTTGTCGAATATACAAACTTCTTCATTCTCCATTTTTCTCATATTTATTAGATAGTTAACATAATTATCAAGTACCTCTTAAAAATAATTGGACTCTGTGTTCCTTGTGCACTATATTATAGTTTTTATTCATTCTTTAAATGATTTCTCTTATTTATGTTACTTATAATATGATTATTGCTTATTCGAAAGCATGATTCCTGATCCACTAATTAAAAATATGATTATCTAATTTATGATCTCTGATTATTATTTTAATGAAAATAAATACGTATGCTTTATGAATTCTGATACTATGGTGTATTTCTTTGATTAGATTTTTCAATATCTGAGATATTATATGAAGTCTCTACTGGTTTAGCCATTATTAGGCTAATAAATCTTTATTGAACTAAGGTATTCTTTTAGGTTGGCTCTTATGCTTCTGCTAGAGTAAGTCCTTACGGACCTAAGGTATCCCCTTAGATAGGCTCCTACGCCCAATGGGCCTAAGGTAAAACCTTATTGATGGTGTTCTAGGGAATTGCATATAGATGTTTGGTTGGAAGGTAGTTATGTGATTTTAAACTAAACTTTAATGTCTTTTTTAAAATATGTTTTATCGAAATAAATTATTATTGTTTTAAATTATTTGTAACACACTATACTCTTCAACTCAATCTCCTAAATTTGTCTTTTTGAATGTTTTCTCCGGACTATAGGTTCCTTTACTGTTACTTGAAGAATTAAGTAATTAAATTTCAACTCTTCATTAGAATCTATAGATATCTGGATAACTAAAAATTTTCATGTTTTTTTATCATTTATATGCTTGACTTTTAGCATCATTTGATAATTTTGTATTATTGAGCTTTCTTAACACTCACTTTTATTTACCATTCCAGGTTAAAGAATTGATCTTGTGTAGTTGTTAATATCAGTTATGGGAGTTCCTTCAGCGTTACTTGTGGAGTATGATGTACATGTAATTAGGGCCATGTTGGTCACATTTTGTTTTGTATGAGAGTTTGAAACTCGTTTTTATAATATGTACTTTTGAATCTTGTTTTTATGATCAAACTATTTCTAAACTTATATTTTAATATGGATGTTGCTTTATGGTATTAAATGACTTAACAAAAAAAATTATTTTTCACGAATTTTAATTATGGTTGATTCTGATGATCCTAATATGACACAAATCTATTTATGAGATTTTGGTATCCAAGGTGAATTTATTTATTAATTATATTATAATATATCTTTATTTTTAGATCGGATGTATTTAGATTTGGTTTAATTTTTCTATTTTATTCTACTTTTTTGGAGGGCCCCAATTAATTGATGGGATATTTTTTACCATTAATTTTTATTTCAATTTAATACAAGAGTCGTTAAATCACGTTTCAAGATAAAAGATATTAATTATATTATAATATAAAAAAATTATTTTTTTGATTGGGGGGACTACATAGATAATATTAATTATTTACAACTGATTGAGGAGTTAAAATTCTGATATGACACCTAATATTGAATCAAGTTACTCTTACCGATATGTAGCATTACTGAACGTTGAATTTGTTTACCAGCGTAGCTCATTTCCTTCCATAATAATTTAATTAGCTATAAAAAATTAACATATATTCCTATTGTCAATATATTATTAAAAAGGTAATTATAAATTATAATTATTATTTTAAATTAATTATTAAATTTTTGAAAGTTTTAATTTAATCTTTGAATAATTTAATTTTATCCATAAATTGAGAATCTCATTCTAAACAAGTTTTTAATTTTTTTTAAATATTTTAATTTTATTTCAAATTATTAATATATACTAATTATGTATTTATTAATAAAATTCTTCGAACAAATTTTATTATTATATGTTTAAAAAATTAAAATTAAATTATGATTGAAACTAATTATATATTCACATAGGATATAGAAATGAATCTACGTGGATGATGAGAGGAGCAACTGAACTCCCCCAATTTTAATAGTTTAATTTGTTTATTACAATTAAATAATTATCCCTCTTAAAATTTACTAATTTAATTATATTTTAGAATAAAATTTTAGCTTTTATTTAATTACTTTTTAGACTTTTAATTTTAAAATTAATAAAATTAAATTGTAGTTAAAATATTCAAAAAAATTAAAAATTAATTCAATTAACTCTATAATTTGCACGCCGTTTTTTATTATAAATTTTAAATTTGATTCTAATATTACTTATAAAACAAGGGAATACTCCACTCTACAAAACAAATACTTTTAATAAATTTAGAACTGATAAAAAATACGATAGAATAAATTATAAATAATTTAATTAACTGACAAAATATATTTGATCTTGTATTTTATTTTTTAAATTTTTTTATTAATCTAAGATAAATAAAAAATAATATCTGTTTAAAGATAAATTCTCATATTTTTTAGATTAAAAACTCAAACCTCTGTCTCTATAGTACTTGAACACATATTTTCAAATAATAATAATAATTTATTTATCACGAATACCACTTGATTCGTCTTTTAAAATAAATTAAAAGAAAGAGAAAAGAAAAAGAAAAAGAAAAAAGAAATATCAGAAAACGAAAAATTAAATATAAACTAATTGAGAGGGTGACGAGAAATTTATTTCGTCTCCTAAAACTAATCCTAAAACTCTAGTAATCTCAGTTCTTTCTCCTATCGGCAGAGTTACAGATTCCACTCTCATTTTCCTGAAAACATGACCCAATCCATCTTTCCCGTCATCAACATTATGAACTATCACCATCGACCCAGTTTTAATCACATCGCCAACATCAAGCGTTTTAAACATTAGTTCCAAATAACCATCGTCGAACCTGCAATCAACCACCACAAAATCTACCTTCTTCAACTGCAGATGCGCTATTTGCTTCGTAATCTCGCAAGGGTTGCTTCCGGCGGCATGCACCGACTTTATGAATCGTTGAAGATCAGCCGTACGGAGTTTAATTTTCGAATGATGTTGTTGTCGATAATAGATGTGGTGCGATGATTGTAGGGACGGAAGAATGCAGATAAGTTGACCGCTGGTTTGCTTTGCGGCCACCGCGAGTGCCATCGTTAATGGCGTGATGCCTTGTGTTGTGATTTCGAGTATTTGTTTAGCTCCTTTGCCTGCTGCCATGGCTGATATCAACTCCATGCATTTGGTTTCTATTACTCTTCCCTTGTCTTCTTCATTACAGTCACCCTTGCTCTGCGATAGAGAGTTGATGTATGTTTATATTTGCATGTTCAAGAAATAAAACTAATTAAAAAATATGGTATAATTATAATTTTAGTTCCTATATTAATTTGAAATTAAACATTTAACCATTCTACTTTAATTTAGTACAAATTTAGCTTATTCTGATTTCTGCTTTCTATTTTTTTTTTGAAAGATGAGTACTTTGTATTGAAGTAACCAAAGTATATCACCCCAATGACCTCATTAAAAAACCTCCCTAAACCTATATAGAGGAAAAAGAGTGAACCTTGAGGTGGAACGATGATCAAAATCACCGAGAACAACAGAACGAAAACCGAAAGTTACATCAGAATTATAGCACATAACAAGCTAACATATAGTTACAAAATACCCCTGAAAGAGCTACGACAAGGAACTACACAACCAAAATTAGAAAAAAATCCCTACTGCAACCCCCAAAATCAAAGGCCAATGATCGATAACTATGGAAATAATGTAGACAAACTACACAACTTAGTGGTCACAAGGAGAGGGGAAATATGGAGCCAACCTCACTGCACCACTAAGCGAAACCCCAGCTTGTATCAGAATAGAATCAACACCAACCGATAAAGCAACCAACAGAACGAGCACCATAGCAACCAATGAGAGAACAACTAAACTTTGCAACAATTAAAACAGAGCTGAAAGCTATAAAGGAACGACCATAACTAGATAACTTGAAGGAAGTTTCGTGACCGAGCATCAAACATAGGAATTCCAAAAACAAAAACAGTAGCAAAAGCTGCTTACAATTACAATTCAGCCATGGAGGTAGAGGACTTGAATTTGGATTTTGCATAGTTAACAGCATCTCAAAGCTCATATTTGTAAGATTGAATTCTCGGAACAAGAAGTTTGGCAAGCAATTTATTCTTCGGATAGTACAAAAACTCCTGGTCCAGATGGTTTTACCATGGGTTTTTACAAGAAATACTGGAAAATTCTTAAGAATCAGATTATGGAGTTTTTCTCAGATTTCTATAAATGAAAGAAGTGGGTTCATGGGGTTAATCAAGCTTTTATTACCTTGATTCCTAAGAAAGGTAATCCCGAGAGTATTGAAGACTATAGACCTATTAGTCTTGTGGGCAACCTGTACAAAATACTGTCAAAAGTTCTTTCTAAGAGACTAATATCGTGTGTCAATGATATTATTAGTCTGCCACAGTTTGCTTTTATTCCAGGAAGGCAATTGTTGGACTGTGTTTGTTTAGCTAATGAATGAATTGATTTTTGGAGGAAGCAATGACTTAAAGGGGTTGTATTTAAAGTGGATTTTAGAAGAGCATATGATACTGTGGAGTGGCAGATCCTGCAAAAGCTAATGAAAAAGATGGGTTTTGGTGAGAGGTGGTGTTCTTGGATCACACAGTGCATTTCAACGGCTTCTATTTCGGTTCTAGTGAATGGGTCACCTACTGAAGAGTTCTCTATTGCTAAAGGATTGAGGCAAGGTTACAGTCTTTCTCCTCTTTTGTTTAATGTGGTTGGGGAATTGCTTCACTTGATGCTGTCGAAAGCTGTGGACTTGGGTCTTTTTCATGGGTTCTCTTTTGGAAATAATCAAAACTCTTTTACTTTGTCTCATCTGCAGTTTGCAGATGATTTAATTATCTTTTTTCGAGATTCAATTACCCAGATAAAGAATGTTAGAATAGTTTTAAGGATTTTCGGCTTATTGACGGGGCTCCAATTGAATTTAGCTAAAATTAAACTGTATGGGATTAATGTGGAGAGTGATATTCTTGACGATTGGGCTAGGGATATTGGTTGTACTGTTGATTCATTTCCCTATGTATATTTAGGCCTTCCTTTAGGGGCGAAAAAGAACTCGGTTAAGCTATGGGAGCCAATCATGGACAACTTCAGCAAGAAATTGGCAGGATGAAAAGCTAATTCTCTGTTTATGGCCGGTAGATTGGTACTTATTAAGTCGGTTTTATCATCCTTACCTATTTTCTACCTTTCCATTTTTAAGATGCCTACTACTATTTCTCACCGGTTAAATTCCATGATGTTGAATTTTTTATGGGGAGGAGAGGCTGCAAAGAAGAAAATGCATTGGGTGAGTTGGGATAAAATCTGCAAGCCATTGAGTGGTGGAGGATTGGGAGTTGTCGATCTGAATATTTCAAACCGAGCATTGTTGGGTAACTGGATTTGGAAATTTGTTAATGATAAAAACTCGATGTGGAAGAAATTCTTATGTTGCAAACACAATGTGAGCTGTCATTCCATGGATATAAACAAGGTTATCTCTCAAAACAACTCTTGGATTTGGAGGGGAATTGTGAACAACTATATTAAGGATGATGCCATTGGAGGTTGTCTTAGATCTCACGCAAAGTTTCATATCGGGAATGAAGAAATCTATATCTTTTTGGAGTGATACATGGCTTGGGGAGTTTCCTTTGAAACTTATTTTTCCCAAAATTTTTCCCTTTCTTTAAATAAAATGGGTACTATTGCAGATTTTGGGAGTTTTGATTCAACCGGATGGGAATGAAGTGTTAAGACTAGGAGGAACCTTTGTGATTGGGAGGTGGAGCAGTTGGTAGAGCTGTTGGATACGTTGAAAAAATATTAAACTTCTTGAGTCATTGGATGATTGTTTGTTGTGGAATGGGTCGGATGTGGGGTTGTTTTATGTTAAAACATGCAGGAAAGCTCTTTCTATTTTTAAGGATGAAACTTTTCAATGGAGCAAAAGTGTATGGTTGGGCTTAGTTCCTCCTAGAGTAGAATCTTTCCTTTGGCAATTATCCCACCAAAAAGTAGCGGTTAGAGTTGAATTATTGAGAAGAGGGGTTCCTTTAGGGGAGAACATTCTCTGCCCTCTATATAACCGAGGGGATGAATCAATCCAACATCTTTTTATTTAATGTCAAGTTACGTGGGAACTGTGGAATAAGATTATAGGGTACTGGGGTATTCGGCTAGCTCTTTCGCCAGACCCTCTATCTCTGTTAAGTTCTTGGGATGATGTGAATCCTAAATTTTCTATGTGGAAGTTTATTCCGGGGGTAGTCTTTTGGTCAATTTGGAAGATTAGAAATGAGTTCATCTTTGAAAAAATAGAGTTAGATAGATTATCAGTGTTTTTCACTGTTTGGTTAAGGTTAGCCAAATGGTATATAGCAAAGTATCCCCTAATCCCTATTCAGATAGATTCTTTAATTGTTGACCCTTATTTGGCTGATAATCTTACAGAGTTCAACTACCTAAACAGGATGGTGAATTGCTGGAGTCCTCCTCTAGGGGATTTTTTTAAGATGAATGTGGATGGGATTGTTAGTACGGTTGGAATGAATGCTGGAATAGGGGATATCCTCAGAGATTGGAATCGGGTTATACTTTTTTCATTTTCAGAAAGTGTCGGTCCTACTCCTACCATTCTAGCAGAGCTTAAGGCTATAAAAAAGGCATTGATCTATTTGTTTCATCACAATGGGCTTCGAAGGGCAAAATAATTATTGAAAGTGATTCAAAGATAGCAGTGGTCTGGATAAAAGACCAAGCTATAGCCCCTGCTTTTCTGTCAAATTTTGTCAAGGAAATTGTCTCTATTGTTTCAACTAAACAAGTTATTGTTAGGTGGATTCTTAGAAGGTGTAACTCTGAGGCTGATAAGCTAGCAAAGGAAGGAATTGGGTGATTAATAACGTTGTTTTGGTTGGTTTGTATGTTTTAGAGGAAAGTGTTTTAAGTTTTATGTAATTTGCAAGACTGTTATTAAGTCTTATATAACTGGCTTATTATTAATAAATTGATGCACTCTTTTCCTCCTTCCGCTAGTTGGTTCTAGCCTTAGGGAAAAGGACTACTATGAGGGAGGTTTTTAATGAGGCATCTTATTTCTATAAAAAAACAGTAGCTAACAAAGACCATCATGTGCTTAAACTGACATCGCTAAAAAACGCAGCAGCAACAATCACCATTAAGTCACACCTTGAACAATAGCTTCTGGATTATGGATAAAATCAGAGACCACTGGAACCAGCATCAGCCATAAGTAATTCACCTATAACCTTATCTGGAGCAAAGCTTTTAAATAAATCTGGTTTGCCCAAAAAAAACACCATTAAATCTCGAATTATTTCAGCATATCCAGATAACCCAAATCAAACCGAAAAAAACCAATACACCAAAGCGACCTCACGATCTTCCTAACACTTTGTGAAAACTAGACTTCTAACCATTTAGAAACATTTTTAGGAAACACTATATTTACATTCCACACCAAGCACCAACTTTGCCAAACTTTCCATACAACAGAACAATGAAATAGAGCATGATTAATTGCTTCATGCTCAGTTTTGCAAAATAAACAACAAATCTGATCATTACAATTTACTCCCCTTTTAGCCAACTCAACCATAACCGACAATCTAAGATGAATTGCTTTCCACACAAAAGCAGAAACTTTAGGAAGGACAAATTTAAACTTAACTAGATTCCACATTGGTTCCTCCGAATTGCCATCACAAGCCACTTTAGAACAGTAGGAATTTGGAGTATATTTGCCATCCCGTGAACCCGACCAGGTTACCCTATCAAGACCTTCTTCGACACTAACCACTCTATTTAAAACCTGTAAGAATTCACTCCAAATAGGCTTTTCCCATTGGAAGAAAGCTCTTCTCATAACAATCCTCCATTCCCATCTTCCATGAACCCAACAACCAAATTCTTTGATCATCCCGCATTTTTTAATTGCTAGACTGAAAATTCTCAGAAAAGAGATTTTTAAAGATGTTTTTTCAGTCCAGAAATCTATGTTATTCCCATTACCCATAACGCATCGCAAATCGACAATAACAATCAAACACCATAGAGCCAGAGGGATTCATAATGCTGCGCCACACCCAAGAAGAGGTTATATTGTTTACAGCTTTTGGTAAGATTGCGTCTTGATCCTAATTATACTTTGTTATAACAGTCTTCCTCCATAAGTTGTCCTTCTCTACATCATACCTCCAAACCCATTTATTTAGCAAGGAACGATTTCTAATTTTAACATCAAATATACCCAGACCCCCATGAGATTAAGGTTTACATATAGCGTCCCACTTAATCCAATGGATACTTCTATCCGACTTAGAATTCCAAATGAAATTAGCTATGCATCTATTAATGTGGTCAGAAATTGAATTAGGATTGAAAAAAATTGACATGAAATAAACAGGCAAGTTGACGAGGACAAATTTTATAAGAGTAATTCTACCTCCCAGTGAAAGCATTTTCCCTTTCCAACTTTGGAGCCGACTAGAGACTTTATCTAAAATTGGTTGCCAGAGCATCTTAGAATTCTTTCTGTGCCCCAGAGGCAGACCCAAATATGACGACGGAAGCTGAGCCCATCCACAATGAAAAAATTCTGACCAACTTCGAACTGTACTATCTTCCAGATTAATGCCAAATAACAATTTTTTTCAAATTAAGCTTCAAACCGGCTACTACCTCAAAGATTTTTAGAATCCAAAAAAATAGAAATTGAAAGCACATTTGAATCAGAAAAAATGAGCAAGTCGTCAGCAAATTGGATGTGGGATAAAGCAAAACCTCCAGTTCCAACTTCCACTCCACGACATATTCCAAGATCCGCAGCTTTCTTAAACATTCCACTAAGCGCCTCACCAACGATATTGAAGAGCAGCGGAGACAACGGACAGCCTTGTCTAAGACCCCTCTTGATTGAGAAACAATGAGACGGGCAACCATTAACTAGGACAACAATTGAAGGAGTAGAGATACAAAGGCTAATCCATTTTCTCCATCTTTTACCAAACCCCATCTTCTTTAGAATAAAGTTCAAAAACTGCCAATCAACCGTGTCAAAAGCTTTACTAAAATCTGCCTTAACCAACACTACTTCTTTCTTGCTTTTATACAACCCATCGATTACCTCATTAGCAATCAAACTGCAGTCGGAAATTTATTTACCAGCAATAAAAGCGAACTGATGCTCTCCAATCACCTCAGAAAGAAAACTACCTAATATCTTAGACAATAGCCGAGCGATAATCTTGTACATGCTGCCCACAAGGGAGATTGGTATGAAATCATCTGGAGAGATAGCCTGAGATTTCTTCGGGATAAGCGCAATATAGGATTTGTTAAAAGAAAGGTCTTCAACTTTTCCCCAATAAAACTCCTCTATAAAATTCATAACTTCACCTTTAATATGATTCCAAAATTTCTTAAAAAAGTCTAATCTGAAACCGTATGGACCAGGCGCTCTTGAACCATCAAACGACTTAACGGTAAGCCAAACCTCCTCTTCCGAGAAAGGGCTCTCCATAAATCTTATGGTAGAAAAGTTTATACTCTTAAGCGGGATGTCGAATCTCTTCAGATGGATGGTTTTCACCTCATTATAAGCAGCAGAAAAATAATTAACAAAAGCTTGATTAATTCCAGCCTGATTCTTGAAAATCACATTCTGAAATTTCAGTTTCAAAATCTGAATTTTCTGACCCCGAGAAACAGCCGAGAGATGAAAAAATTTAGTATTTTTGTCCCCTCTTTAAACCACTTGAGTCTAGATTTTTGAAGCCATTCACGTTCAACCTTCCTCGATATAGCCCACAATCTGACCTTCAACGAAAAAATATCCTGCTGGAATTGAATATTACCAGGGTCCGCCAGCCACCTCTAGCGAATCAATTTCTTCCACGGAATCTTGATTCAAAGCTCTAACTTCTCTCTCTCTGTCCTTGGTCACATTCTTTTCCAACAACAAAAATTTATTTATGCCTAACCCTTTCTTCACTACGCATAATTCTATTATTCTATCGACCAGAATAAAGTCTTTTGCCCAATGATTAAACCATTTGAATGGTCTAACAACCTTATATATTCTCTTATTTTTCAACACAATCGATTTGT